GAAAAACTCCCTCGCGCATTTAACCCTTCGGGGCGGGCGCGCAAAAAGGAGGTGTGACAAAGGGCATAACAAATGACCGTGGGTACTCCAGCCAGACAACATTCCATAATCTGGAAAGTCATTTATAGTCCACATAAGTGCAGCTCGCATTTGAAAATTTTGTTTCTTATAAGAATCATAAGTCTCAACCCCGTCAACCCATAATTATTTCAATTCATCAATGAGAGGTTGTAAGTATAAGTCTATATTCTTTCCGGGGTTTTTTGGACCAGGAATGAGAAGACTTAAGAACATATACGGGCTACTCATGCACATTCCAGGTGGAAGATTGTATGGTGTGATGATTGCTGGCCAACAAGAATAAGGATGGGCCATCTGCCCATAAGGACTAAACCCATCAGCTGCAAGTCCAAGCCTAATATTTCGAGGCTCAACTGCAAAGTCAGGATGGTATTGATCAAACTTTTTCCATGCCTCTCCATCACTTGGATGACTCATTACCCCAGGTTCTCGACGAGATTTTCGGTGCCATATCATATGTTTAGCGATCTTTGATGACATATATAACCTCTGCAATCTCGGAGTTATAGGAAAGTAGTGTAGTACTTTATATGGAACATCTTTTTGCCTTCCATTGCCTCCTTTCTTAGGCTTATAGCGTGGTTTACCACACTTTGGACAATTTATTTTGTCTTTGTTATCCTTGTAATATAGGATACAACTTGTCTCACATACATCTATCTTTTCATATCCTAGCCCAAGTTTGGCAACCATTTGTTTAGTCCTATAGTAATCATTAGGTAACTTAGCATCTTCGGGTAAGATCTCCTTCAGAAATAGCAAAATTTGGTTATAGCAATTGTCACTCATGTTAAACTCGAACTTAATGTTTAGCAACTTGCACACCACTGACAGCGTAGAATGATTAACACATCCATTAAACAATGGCTCTTCTGAAGCTTTTAGCATATCAAAAAATTCTTGAGCATTTCGATTAGGAGGTTGTTCTTCTTCATCATCCCAATCAAATCCATCACTTTCAAAGTTGAAACTAGGACCAATTGCATCTAAGACCATAGTGCGATACGGATTTACTGTCGTTCTGTCAGGACCTATTTCACTTTCTGTATTAGCACTAGATTGAGGCCTAGAAATTGGTACAAAAGGCTCCCCATGTGATTCCCATTGATAATAGTTAGGCATTAAACCGTTCATGTACAGATGTGCTTTAACATCATGAGGTTCAAGAAACCCACTAATGTTTTGACATCTTGAACACGGACACCTTATACTTCCATTAGAAACGAAGTCATGTTGCATTAATGCAAACCTTACAAATTCGTGCACACCTTCTATGAAGGCAGAAGTTACTCCTTTTCGACTTTGCACTAGTCTATTATACATCCAGATACGATCAACTCTAAAAGAACTCATGCTTCCTATCTAACAAACAATGACAAAACACTATTTTTAGTGCTTAATAATATAATAGTTAGTTAATACTCAAAGTAAATGAGATCCAAATCTTCTTATAATCTTAGTTCACCAATTTAAGCAGATCGACAATACCACAAATAGCTAAGTGAGAAAGATTCAGAATAACCATTTAATTAAGAGGAAAAAACACTTAGATTTTCTTAAAAACAAATAGTAGAAGTTGGATCTGTTTTCTATTTGACACATATTTGTAAGTGAAATTTACTATCTCACATCAATTTTGTTTGCTAGTAAACCTAGAAAAGTCACATATACTTCTTTTTCTTTCCAGTCATATATTACAAGTATAAAATTGTATTAATTGCATTCTTCTTCACTTATCATGTTTCCCTCGTGTAAATTAATTTTACTTGGTTTACAATAGTAGAAATAATTCTTCATTATTTTCCTCTCAAATCCAGAAATAGTTGTTCAATAGAGAAATATAAGAACAAAAAATTTATAATTAGAAAAAACCAAACAAAACATACAAGTAGAAACAATTTACACTACTGAAAGTTCAATTTCTATATATATGATAGGAACATAAATCATTGGGGTAATTGCTATCTCTTAGTTTCAGATTTAACATAAAATTAAACAATGACAAGAGTTCCTGGTGCGAGAAAGGTACTGATGAACACTCACAATAAATTAAACACTCACAAAAGACTTCTTTGCACAGATGCGTTAGGTATAAGAGAAATTCTTACCTTCATGGAAGCTTACAAGCGGCAGCGATAATTAGCGTTCTTCCTTCACTGAATTGGAAGATGATCGTTGAGGGTTTAGAGGGATGAAGAGATGTGGAAGAGTGCGTGGGCGTTTAGCGAATTTTAAGGAGTTGCGAATTTGAAGGAGTTGAGATACAATAGTCCAATTAAAATAAGATTACCAAGTTAAGCGTTAACTTTACAATTTTAAGGAAAAAGGTTGCCTTTAAAATTTCAATCAAAAGCCCTAAGACGGATCTTTAGGGATTTCAATCAAAAGTCCAAACATGGATATAAAACTCTTATTACCACTATTATTATTATTATTATTATTAATTTGCTAGAGACAAGCTTGGATTCCTCCCTAGCTAAACAACTAAATTTGACAAAAAACATTAGCGCCATGTTAGAATTTCCCACAAAACCTTAGCTACTTTTTAGCTAGGGATTAGCCAGGGAATGTAATCCTAGTTAAAAGATAATCTTTCCGCAAAATTATTAGCGCCAAAATAAAATTCCCGCTAAAATTTGGCTATAGATTAGCTAAGGAGTCTTTCCTAGCTAGCGCATTTCTAGGGATTCGCTATGGACTGTGTCCCTAGCTAAACTATGATCTTTTGGAAAAATAAATTTAGCGCCAAATTAGAATTCCCGCTAAAAATTAGCTATAAATTTGGCTAGGAAAAAATTTGTAGCTATCATTTAGCAAGGAATAGTCCCTAGCTAATTCCTAGCTATTTTGTGACTAAATTTTTAATCAAAAAATTTTGCAAGGAAATTGGACTTCTCTAGCTACATCCCTAGCGTATATTAGCTAGGGAATTGAATTCCCACGCTAAATTCCGATGCTAATAGCATGTTCTCTTGTAGTGTAATGACCCGAAGTGCTTCAACAGTAGGAGACGAGTCCAATTTCTCACGTGTTTGATTGGATCATAACATAAAATATCAAATGTACAAAAAAAAAAACATAAATATAATGCAAGTGAGTTTTTGGAACTCTCAACTTGTTCAAAGTGTTATATTCAACTCAGCTTTCTTAATACATCTATTATTGTACATGTGTTGTAGTCTCAAAAAATAAAGACGATCCGACTAATTAATGCTTGTTTGTTCCTTCTACCTAGCTAGGAGTCTAATACATGAGCAGTTGGCATCTCATAGCGACAAATAGGGCAACGATGACTCTTCTCCAACCAGGTCGTAATGCATTCTCCATGAAACATGTGGGAGCAAGGCATGCACAAAATCTTCCTCTCCTTCCCGAGTTCTTCAAAACAGATGACACAGTCATCATTTATACGTTCATCTTCATCGATCTCCATTCTCTCTGGCAGCTCCATGATGGATGACTTACGAGCAGGTACCGTCCCGTTGAAGCGCGGTGACAATCCTTCCAACAAACTCCTCTCATCAGAATAATGGTCAATGACTAAAGTTAAAGAAACGAACACCTTCAAGATACGGCGACCTTTGTTAGACTCATCATCAACAATTTCACGTACTTTGCCTATCATATCACGGATGACGACGTGGCGATAATTCCTATCAAACTCCTCACCCCAGTTGTTGAGATTTGATTGCATGGCACTGTAGAACATGTCATATGACATGTATACAAAAGGGGGCAGTGTGAGATCACGAAGTGAATTGATATGGCTTCGCTCTCCTTGGAATTGTGCAGGTTCATGGGGTGCTGGTCTATACCAAAATTGTTCATCAGTGTTAAGGTGAAACTGAATGGCTAAAGTGGGTAAAGAAGAAGGAGAAATAGTAGTATTATTACTCCTATCGTTATTGATTTGTGATACTTGATGCCGAATTAGGAGGCCTCCAATCGAGCAGGGATGGCGGTATTCGATTTCAGACTCCATATTCGAAAGATTTGAGATGGGAAACCTAGCAAGTGGTCGATCACTTCTCAACCTAGATACTCTCTCTATATAAATCTAGAAGCAAATCCTAGACCAACTCCGCTTAGGATTCCATTGTTTGCTTAATTGTGCCCCAAGTAACACTGGAAATTCAAAAATAGCCAGATTTACAACTGGTCGTTCAAAAATAGTCCAGTTTTAAAAGTAATCGAAATTTAGCCATTTTTCATGTAAAGATAAATCTGAGCGAAAACACTGTTCAAAACCTGGAAATACGCCGGTATATTATACTGGAGTTCCAGCATATCCAGCATATTATACTGGAGTTCCAGGATAAGTATGCTGGAACTCTAGCATAATATGATGGAGTTCCAGCAAGTATAATTGTCCAGTGTAATATCTGGAGTTAGAAGCACCTGTGCTAGAGTCTCCAGTATATTATACTTGAGTCAGCAAAGTATACCGGTCCAGCATAATATGCTGGAGTTCATACACAGGTGCACCAAACTCTAGTATATTATGCTGGATCAGTCTTTGTTGCAGCAAAATAGTGGCTATTTTTCATTGACTTCGTAAACGCCGACTATTTTTGAATGACTAGTCCGAAAACTAGCTATACCGTGCTATTTTTACACAATATTCTGTCCCAAGTAACACCAATCAAAAATTGTGCCCCAAGTAAATCGGAATCCCTTTTCCCTTAATTGGAACAAGGATTAGTTGAAATTAAATAATTATTATTATTTTTAATTTAAAAAAAAATTATTTGAGCAATTTTTGATGACGATATATATATATACCCAGTCAATTGATTGTGTCGCTATTAATTGTTCCTATAATACTAGAAACAGGGGTATCATTTCCGCTAGAGACCACATAAATAATAGATCGATCCAGGCAAGACATTTTTACGGTTATACTTATACAAATACGACATTAAGGTAAAACAAAAGATCTAAAACTGAAGTGTTTTCCAATTATAGAAAGTTTGACATTATTTTTTGAATAAAGCAGCAAAAAGAAATAGTAACATATAAAATGGAACAAATTAAAGGGACTACGTAATTAGAATTGACAACTGAACATGCTTTTTGTTTTTAATATAAGTTCAAGACTAGCTATCCTTAATTTATGAGCTTGTAAATCTAAGTTAAGGATTACTTGTCCTTAACTATTCCGATAACCTCCCTACTTCGACGACCCTCCTCCATTTTTTCAGACAACTTGCAGCTCTCACTCTCTTCTTCACACTCACCTTTTTAAATTACATACTTACTTTTCCTCAATCTTTATCCTAACAAGAAAAGTCCTAAAGATCGAGCATAACAGTAGCTTGCAAGAATTTTATGTGGGATGGAAAACCGCTGACAAAGAATAGACTATAGCCAAGTTACAGCTCATGAAAATCCGACGCTTTCACTCACGCTGTTTGAGAAGGAAAAGAGATAGAAGAAAGGGCAATACCATTTTTTCATATTAATTTTAATAGACTAGTAGCTATTTTTGCTCAGCATTAAAAATGGTGGATAAAAAATAAATAACACTTTAAAAAGTGGCTACCCCACGTAATTTTTACACAATTAGAGTCTCCTGCTAGATTGTTCAAGTGTATGGGTCGTTTTCTACTTATACAATTTTTGGACAATCGTCACACCTTGACCCAAGGCCGGCTCAATGGATCTCGTGGCTAAAGGAATATAAATTGCATGGGCGCCATATTTGGTCGCCCCTTTTTAACTTATTCCCGTTTTATTTTTTCGTTTGCAATCGTACCCATTTTTTTTTGTTAAAAGCGTTTTAAAAAGACGATTTTGCCCTTCTTTAATAAAAGACTATTGACAAACTGCAGGATTAAAACTTTAGCATGTTTAGGCTGAAGTTTTAGCAAATGAACTAAAAAACTTCAGCTTGTTTAGACTGAAGTTTCGGATAAAACTCAGGACAAAACTCTAGACTGTGTTACAAAACTTCAGCATGTTTTGGTATGAAGTTTTAGCAAATGAACTAAATAACTTCAGCATGCATTAGCAAAAACTCTTCAGAAAATTACATACTACAAGACAAAATCTTAAGCATGTTTAGTCTGAAGTTTTAGCAAATTAACTAAATAACTTCAGCATGTTTAGTCTGAAGTTTTAAAAATAAACTAAATAACTTTAGCATGTACGTTTTGTCTGAAGTTTTAGCAAATAAACTAAATAACTTCAGCTTGTATAAGCAAAAACTCATTAGAAAATTACACACTGCACGACAAAAACCTAAGCATGTTTAGTCTGAAGTTTTAGCGAATGAACTAAAAAACTTAGGCATGTTTAATCTGAAGTTTTAGCAAATGAATTAAAAAACTTAAGCATGTTTAGTCTGAAGTTTTAGCAAGTGAACAAAAGAATTAAGCATGTTTAGTCTGAAGTTTTAGCAAATGAACTAAATAACTTCAGCATGTTTAGACTAAAGTTTCGGATAAAAATATGACAAAACTGTAGACCGCGGGATAAATAACTTCAACATGCATTAGCATGAAGTTGGAGCTTCAATGTGAAACAACTCCATGCTATATTAGCATGAAGTTTTAGCTTCAACATAAAATAACTTCATGCAAGTGTAAATCTGAAGATAAATCTGGATAAGTTTATGGTTTTTTGATAAAGCTGCTGAGAGGAGAGGAGGAGATTCACGAATGAGGTTGCAGATCACGCGATTAATGCGTGATGCATGTTTTATATCTTTTGTCAGGGATATAATTGTCATATTATTACAGACTTTTTGTCAGCTGTTTACCAAATTAATAATTTTTAAAAATAGGGTATAGGTTAAAAGGTGGCACAAATATAAGGTACGACTGCAAATTCTCCGCTAAAGGCGAAATCTATATAAGTATATATGTAGAGAGAGGGGGGGAGGGGGAGAAGAGAAAGAATAAAGTGGTGGATTATCGGATGTTGAGATCCGAAATTCAAACTGAAAAGTTTGATTTGGCTATCATCACAAACAAGAAAATGAACATAGCGTAATAATTTAAGTATTAAGCATTGACAACTTCAAAAATATTTATACCTTCTGTTCAACCTAACGATAATTGTAGTTCATTATATTAAGCAGCACTCATTAGTGAATATTTCAAATAAATTGTAAATAACCTAATATAATATGTTGAATTACACTAAAGAAAATCGGTGCATGAATCCTTTTGTATTCATGCAGTTTTACAGAAAATTGTAAACAAAATTCATTATATTGTCAATGTATATAACTTAATTCCTATATAAAATATTCCGTATTTCTTGATATGGTACTAGAGCCACAACCATCCAACTTTTTAGAGCCGCATATCACGTTATCCTCGCTCCAAATGTTAAACTCCTAGCATGTGTGAGGCTATAGTCTTACATAGGCCAAGTGTACATGATTGTTGTCTCCTTATATAGTTTTGGACAATCCTCATAATTTGAGCTAATTTTCAAAGTGAATTAGGCGCAACGTCTATTTTTCTTTTAACATTAAATTTTTAGTATATCTATTGTGTAACGATCCCAGACGGTCGTTTCGAAAGTTATAGCCTAGTTTTCCCATTTCCCGCTTCTTTTGTGTTCTTCGGCTGTATTTTGACTTACCGGGTTAGTTGGTTCAGGTCTGGAGTGGTTTTGAAGTAAATTCAGACACTTAGTCTCTCTTGTAAAGGCTTAAGTTAGGAAAGTTGACCGGCTATTGACTTATGTGTAAACGACCTTAGATTTGAATTTTGATGGTTCCATTAGCTCCTTTAGGTGATTTTGGACTTAGGAGCGTGTCCGGAATGTGATTTGAAGGTCCGTGATAGAATTAGGCCTGAATTGGCGAAAGTTGAAATTTTGGCAATTTTGGCTGGCAGTAGAAATTCTGATATCGGGGTCGGAATAGAATTTCAAAAGTTTGAGTAGGTTCGTGGTGTCATTTATGACTTATGTACAAAATTTGGGTTCATTCAGACGTGATTTGATAGGTTTCGGCATCGTTTGTGAAATTTAAAAGTTTAGAAGTTCTTAGGCTTGAATCCGAGGGTAATTTGGTGCTTTGATATTGTTTTGAGTGATTCGAAGGTTCGAATAAGTTTGTTTGATGTTATGGGATGTGTTGGTATGTTTGGTTGAGGTCCCGAGGGCCTCGGGTGAGTTTTGGGTGGTTAACGGAACATTTTTGGCCTTGAAGAGACTGCGGATAGCTGCTGTATTTTTTTCTTCTACTTTCCTTATACGCGATCGCATGAGTGCATCTGCGATCGCATAGGCTTATTTGGGGCAGATGTGAAGTTGTTCTACGCGATCTCTGAGTTAGGGTCGCAATCCCGTACGTGTGTGATGTAGTGCTTCGCGAACACATGGCCAGTGTCGCGTTCGCGTAGAAAACATTGAGCTGAAAAGGAGCTGAGGTGATTGCTCTACGTGGTCGCGTGAGGCAGGTTACGATTGCGTAGGTCTGTGTGGCATAGGTTCGCGAACGTGTGGTGTTTTTCGCGTTCGCATAGAGTAAAAATATGGGCCAGCCTGTTTGTGCTTCATGATCGCGAAGAAGAAAATCTGGACAGACAGTGTTACATTCAAAATCGAGGATTTGAGCCCATTTTTCATATTTTGAGCTAGAGACCACGAATTTGGGCAATTTTTGAAGGCATTTTCAGGGAGTTGATTGGGGTAAGTATTTTTCACTTGATTTTGGTTAAATTCCATGATTGTATCTTGATTTCTATCATCTAAATTGGGAATTGAGGGGGGGGAGGGGAATGAAAGAGTTCTTGAGGAAGTAATTTGGGGATTTGAGGGACCAAATAAGGTTGGATTTTGATGAAATTGGTATGGGTAGACTCGTGAGTGAATGGGCTTTCAAATTTTGTAATTTTTGTTGGATTTCGAGATGTGGGCCCAGAGGCCAGGTTTGAGCCGATTTCGGGTTCTTAGTTTAATTTGGTAGTTTTGTTTTTGAAATCATTCCTTTAGCATATATTAATAGTATTGTACTGATTGTGA